TGACATATAAACTTTACCTATAATTAGCGCTGTAACATTTTAGGAGTGAACTGTAATAATCTTTTCGTCCTCACAGAGTTCCATGATAACCTTTAAAAAACACCAATTATAATATCGAAATTCTCGAGATTTGAGCTACTCAACGACTTGTACATTTAGCGAAGAGCTATAATGAAGCCTCAGCCGAGTAGTTGAAAAAATTGAGTGTGAAAATAAATCTTTTTCACTGCTACAACGCAGCAAAACTTTTTTAAAAATCAAACTTGTCGTTAAAATGGCAAAGATCTAAGCTTTTCAATCACTACCGGATGGCTGAGAAAGAGATTTCATTCAGCGAGAAAGGCCTTCAGAAAGTCTATTTGATACACGTAGTCCCTTAAGGGCTGATATCTAATGTTCCTCTTAGGTTTTAATAATCGATCAGAATTCTTTTTTTGACCACGGCAGTGGTATGCTGTTACAATATGTCCAATAATGTAGAGTGCTGTGCAAAAACATTTGCGTCATCCTGGCTGACGCAAATGTCTTTGTACGCCACTCTACATTATTGGATTTATTGTAACATCATACTACGTGATCAAATAAAATGACTTCTGATTGATTATTGAAACCCACTGTCTGTCAGCATAAGTGGGTTCGTTGTGATAATGAGCGCCTCGCCAGACCTTAGACTGTTGACTGTTGACAGATAACGCGTTGTAGCATAGGAAGAGTGGAGTGCAAAACGAGCGTCGGAGATGCAACGGTTCAGCACACGCTCACGGAACGAGTAAGGTCTGGGTTCGAATCCCCGCTGACGCTAATGTTTTGTACGCCACTCTACATTATTGGGTCCCTATAAGGGTGGTCTTTGTGATCACCTGTATCACCTGCCGTCGCGTTGACCGTCGAGTGACTCGAGCGGGCACGAGAAACATTTCCATTTTTACCTGTCGCGTGCAAGAATAGCCCAGTGGGTCCTCTTTCTTCTAGAGATTCGCTGCGCGTCATATCTTTCTTCTATGTATTTCGTGAAGGAATCGGATCCATTGGGTCCATGGTCTTGCTGTAGAGCGCTTGATATCTCGAAGAATCCAGCGGTAACGACTCTAGTTCATCTGTTATATGAAAATCGAGAAAACTTATCTTGATTAGCTGACACGAAGTTGGTAAACTAGTCGTAAAAGTTCGGCTGACGTTTCGGCGACCTGCCTTCTTCACAGCCTGGGCGTATGTAGTATTAGACTATTTGGAAGATTCGAATGGTCTTATTTACATGCTGCCTAGGTCAAGTTAGAAGATCAAACGAAGAAAGAGCGCGAGACTCGTGTGATGGTGACGCACTCCTCCTTCTGATTCATTTCGGTTTTCTTCGCTTCGGTTATTCTAGTTCATCTGTTGTCGTTGCAGCGCATTACGTGTACAGCCCACCTTATTTTCGATATCATGGCTGGTAGGACGACGTATTTGATTTTCGATCTTTGTCGTAGGTCCAAACTTTGGATCCTTTCTCTGATTTGCAGGACACGGGATACTCTTAGCATCTACCTATCAACTTCGCGTTCAATAACGCCAAGTGATCTTTCATCCTGCTTGCATAACGACCAGGCTTCTGCTGCATACGTTAGGGCAGGGATAATCGCCGAGGTCGAAAAGATGGGTACGGAGTCGGATGTTCTTAGTCCTTCGTCCTCCTCACTACATATACATATACATATGTCGCATTTGTGATATGGCTATGAATTATCGTTTTTTGGAGCTGACGGCCTTATAGTCAGAGGAGGATTTTGTTCAAAAGCTTTACTGACGGATCAGAAGTCGAGGGAACGAGGTGGCTTCAGCAGTCCATTAACATAAGAAGCACAATGGTAAGTTCCTTCGGAATTGTTCGAAAAATGAGCAGATCGACTGAGACAGCATTTTTTCTAAACTGAGAAAAACCTTCACAGTTACCCTAGTATTGAAATGGGATAAGAAAGAAATGTGCTCAAGAACGCGACCGAAGTGCCACTGAGCATAAGTTTGCTCAGCCACCTTTTCGAAAGACTCCTCCATCAATTTCTCGCAGTATGTCCAGGAGGTGCAAATGAACTAGAACTTCCATTCTTTCGTATAACCGTTTTCAGAGATGGTGCGATGTTACGAATATGACCCAATCATTTAAGTGATGAGCAGAACTTTAATCGTCGGACGAGATTCAAGCACGCATTTCAACCTTTACGAGAGTGCGTACAAAACAGAGCATTTTGTTGCACAATTGCATACTGAAGTCACATTCTATTTGTAAAATAGCTGCAGAATAATTCTGCAAAATTTCGGAGATAGCCATCTGAAAGTTCAGAACGTTATTTCTTCCGCAAGTAGCCAATACAGTTTATTCAATACTTCAGGTTTTCTAAAGTTGTCATAGATTTTTTACCCAAACAATGCCCTCATGCACACATTGTTCGTTCTTATTGAAGAGGGTACCTCGCAAAATTGCATCCACTACGATTCCAACATCTTGCGTAATTGACAGTAAAGTCTATCTTTTAGTTTACAAAACTATTGCGCTGCCTAGGATCACTTGGAATGCGAATTTAAAAGAGAAAAAGGTTAACATATGTCCGCACGACATAGTGATTATTCTCTAATGAAACATTCCTTCCACTCTTTGGACAGCGCTACAGCACTGATTGATATGTTGTGTAATGGTGAAGATTTCGTTCTCTGCCATTGCTATATCAAGGATTCTGCGAATCGGCAACTTTTAAGTTTTATTTGTTAGTTCCTCTTAGTGTAGCAGAGTTATTGGCCGTATTCCCAATATTTTATAAGCACTGAGGAAGTTGAATGAGCAGTTGAATCGTATGACTTCTTTGTTTTTATTTATATATGAGCGACGAACAATTGGGTCACAGTGTCCTTCTTGGAGTTTCAACATGATATTGTATTAAAAAAGTGAACTTAAACCATGCAGAAGAAATCCAGTAGGAAGAAATTTCTCCACCGCAAATCGTGGGAATGCTTAGAGTCTCCTTGGAAACTCCCAGCTTATGTGGCCACCTCAGTAATATATGAAACCATTACATTATTACCATATTCGACATTGAAAAAATTGTAAGATTAGTTTTTCGCACTTATCCTGTTTATTGAGGTGCTCGGTAGTTTTATAAAATAGCTTTGGTTGGCAGAAATAGAGAAAATTATGGAAATTTCAGCGGAAAATAGTACATTTGGAATGGTAAAAAAGAAATGCGCTATTATGTACAGCAGACTACCGTGTTTAAAGCATTCTGCAGGTTATGGAAACAAACTATTTCAAAATTTCGAAATGGTGCATTCTTGTTAGAGGTGGCTATTTTGACTCTGTCGATATATCTAGGTTGGAGAGCAATTGATATTATTCCATCCAGTCGACGTCATTGATAAAGATTCTACTCATTTGCAAATCTATTGTGACACTCCTTCCACTCAGAACGTGATAATTCTTAATTATACCCACTAATAAAGAATCATATGCAAAAAATCTTGCGGCAGATGAGATTCGAACCCTCATTTCGCCCTATCCAGGGGCGCGTGCTCAATTTTTGCAAATTATAATCAATTTAGTAGATAACTTAACTCTATTATTCAATTTAATTAGATAGCATGTTATCGAGGCAAAAAATAGTTGGTTGACAAGTAATGACTACATATTTTGCACCAGCCGAAGAAAATCGACTGAAAAAAGGTGGTGTCCACAATCACGTGCTGTCAACACAGCGTTTCTTCATCCTTGCTATGAAGTTGGTCATGTGAGCGTGTAGCTCTGTTGAAAGGGCTGATAGCGCCGAAACGTACTTATGTCAATGCCGTAAAAGCCCGAAAAGGCTCAAAACATTCCCTCAACTGATTTGATTGTTTCACTTGCTTTGTTGGGCGACAAATCAAAAGCACTGTCGGTAGGTAGTAATTGGCCGTGTTGTGAATTTTTTATAGGCCCTCAAAAAGATTAGATTAGCAGTTCCGAGTTGCGCGAATCCGTCTTCTATAACTTTTGCATTGCTTTAGGTGGATCGTTAAGCGGTGAAAACTTTCACCACAATATTATACTGTTCAGTTTCAACACGACACAGCAATTTGTCAACATACCTCAGCCAATGAAGGAAAATGATCCCCTTTCCCAAGTTTTTAATTTAGCAGTCTCGCGAAAGCTTCAGTTCAATTCAAACACAAAAAGCGCATTTTTTCAGCTTCCCTGATTTCCCTTGAGCCAACTTTGTGTATGAGTTCTATTAGAGTCTTGTTTGACATAGTGTAAGTTTTACCTCTGCTTTTATATTATGAAGTTTATTTCAGTGTGTTGGCAGGGAATCACTGAATTAGGTTAGTTAATGTGGTTTGAACCCTCTCAATACCGATTGTGCCTATGATGCTTATCCATATTTTTCTCTGCTTGTCGCTGACGTCTAGGTGAATTGAGACCTTATTCAAAACTTCAAAGGCGACAGATATGCTACCTTAGGAAGGCAGAGAAGAGCGCTTTGTAAACTTGTTTTCTTCGTAAGTTTTTCATTTCTAACACTAAGATAGAACGTATGTTATTATAGGTATTTAGGTTATATATGTTATCGCTTTAGAGACCAAGTGTGCCAAAAATGAAACGCTGGCCTCTAATGGTTTTTTCGTCGGTCATATATTTCTCAATAGACTTTTTACACGTCTCCATTTGACCGTTTCTTGAAGGAATCACTCGAAAGGATAATGCTCTGATAATAATATAACGAGTTTTTAGTCGTTCGTCAAGTCTAAGTGCTGGACAGGCGCCTGTTACTTCCTCAAGGACTCCTCAGTAGTATAGTCTACAGTCCCTATCACCTGACTTGGAGTGATTTATTACTCGGCGTCGATTCCTTCATAGGGGACTATCGACTGAACCAAAGAACTGCGCTAATGAGGAGTCTTTGAGGACGAAACAGGGGCCTGTCTGGCATTTAGACCTGACGAACGGCTCGAAACTTGTTATATCCCAGTGATGTAGAGTGCTGTGCAAAAAGATTTGCGTCAGCCGGGATTCAAACCCAGACCTCACTCCTTCCGGGAGGGTGTGCTGAACCGTCGCACCACAGACGCTCGTTTTGTACGGCACTCTTTTTACGCTAAAACGCGTTATCATGTGGCAACAGAAGCAACATGTGTAAACTTGACTTCTTCATGTCTATTACTTTCGTGTTTCCTTTATTCTAATACTTTCGCGTTTCCTTTCTAGATTCAGATCCCTTTTACAATGTTTACATTTTGAATCTAGTTGGGTACGAAATGTAGACAAAAATATCTGTGACATCATGTCGAATCATTCAAAAGTTGTTGTTGATATCAAATGATCTGTTCAATCTTCGAAACTCAGAAGAGTAGCACTTTTCCTAATGTAATTATGGCTTTAAGGTAATGAAAGCTTTTAATCTCCTTAGTTTCAACTCCTAAGCCTCCTTTCTGAATTTTCTGCTCAAATCTTTGTGATTTTTGGTTTTTTTTTTTGCTGTGAGAATTCTTTCTAACAATAAAACGTGCGTTTTTTGTGTTGCTACTTTTCTTTATTAAACTTTGAGGATCTCTGTTCAGTAAAAACAGTTTGTGAATGTGATGGCACTTTTTTTTTTTGCTGTAATCAACGTGATTTTTAAAGACGATCAATAGACATACATAGAATAACAATTGGTTACTGGCTTTATTCCTAGTAGTTAACACCAAATCGCTTTAAATTAAGTCTTTTGGAAAAATGTTAGATTTCAAATGCACTTTCAGAGTGGCATATTTCAGTTCAAAGTAAACTAAATTCATTTTATTTTTACTGCCACTTGCAGTGGTATGATGTTATAGTATACCCGATATGTGGAGCGCTTTGCAAAAACGTCTGCGCCATACGGGATTCGAACCCAGATCTCACTCTTCCTGGGAGCGTATACTAACCGTTGCACTACCGACGCTCGTTTTGCACAGCACTCCACATATTGGATATACCATAACATCATACCACTGCAAGTGGCAGTCAAAGTAAAATGAATTTAGACTGATTATCGATATCCAAAGTCTGTCAACACAAGTGGGTTCAATGTCGATAGCGGCTGCCCCGCCAGACCGTCGACGGTTGGCTGTTGGCAGGCAACGCGTTATAGCGTAAATAAGAGTGCTGTGCAAAACGAGCGTCGGTAGTGCAACGGTCAGCATACGCTCCCGGAAAGAGTGAGATCACAGTAAACTGTTAATGTAAATGTATGTTTCATGATCTCCAGGTTGTTCCTCGAACAAGAAAAAAGAGGTCCACATTCGATTGCTCGTAAATCTAGACTTCTAGAGCTGATGAAGGTGTTGAAGACGAATTCAGCTCCGGCTTGTTTTTCGAAATTTCTTTTGCGAATTGAGTGGTGAGCAAAAGTACGATCTCAGACTGGAGTCGAACCCGCGCTTCACCCACACTAAGTATGCGTGCTACCACTACACCTCGAGGCACATTCGCGCCAACCCTCAGTCTTCAACATCTCTACGTTAGCTGTCAGCCAACAACCCTTAGCAGTCTTGGTCGGGTATACGATTTTGCCTCATAAACCCAGTTGAGCTGACAGCCATTGTTAGATACAATACTCGAGAATTCTAGTATTTTACTGCTTCATTCTCTGCGACTGCTTGCTGCTCAACCGGGTTTATAAAGCGAAATCGCATACTATATCAAACCTGTTGAGGCAGGTGGCTGACAGGTAACACAGAGATGTTGAAGAATGAGTGGTGGCGCAAATGTGCCTCGGTGATGTAGTGGTAGCATGCGTCCCCAGTATGGATGAAACGCGAGCTCGACTCCCTTTTGAGGTCGTATTTTTGCTCACCACTCAATTCTTAGATGAAACATCATAACACTGCGAAAAAAAGCAGCATAAATACTAGAATTTCCGAATATCTTTGCACAAAATACTATCAACATGTTCGAGGAGATTTAGTCGGTAGGCAAGAGGACTGACGAGCACTGTGGATGAGGCAAATTTCCGTATCTCAGCTCGCCTACCCATGTGAGGCTAGTTGTGCGACGCTTTACCTTGAAGAACCGATACCTTTCTGCAGACCAGTGCGATGGATAGTTGCTGGAGTTTCTAGTCAATTTTCGGGTTACACTTGTCTACCGTTGTCAAGTGTTAGAATTCGTCGTCATTGAACCACTTAGCTGATCGTAGCCGTATTGGGCCGAGAGGGAGTATCTTTTGTTGCTTGCCACAAAAATTCTCAATAAATCGGCCGTTCTGGTTGCGTACAAGAAAGCCTGCATCAAATGAGACTAGCAATTTTGTGAATTGCCAATATTCTTGGGCTATTTATTGTTGAGGCTCTTTGACTTTCCAGTCTTCCAAATGCTTTAAAGCAGTTGAGATGCATGCACTAGGCTCTTTCGCGAGTTCTTGAACATGCTTTCGTATTTACAGATAAGTGTTCAATCTAGCATGTTCAAAATTTAAAGCACGCCCATGACCTCTTGCATCTTGAAGTGCGAATTCGCCACGACAGAGTGCTCCGGACTAGCGTTGACGTTGCATTTTTAGTACTTTTTCGACCATGTATACCATTACTTTTATCCGTTTGTCTGCACTGTGTACGAGTTCAAATTCGTAAGAGCTGTTGCAATTTCTTCCACGTTAGAATAAAATTTTCTTGAGGGCGCAATCTATATCGTAACCTAATTATACGGAGCGAAAACTCACGAAGTAAGCTTTTCAGTTATGCCCGTTAGTTAATAAGGTGTGCTAGAGCACACATATGAAATTATCAAAAAACATGATATTTATCAGACTGGAAGTTCCGCAAGTTTTATCAAAGTAAACTCAGTCGTTAATGATAATCTTAGCTACCATGTATAAGGCACCCACTGACTTATGCTGCCTAGATTGTAGGAGCAGTCCTTGGTCTGCTTCTTTGCTAAATGATAACTCACTACTAATGGTGTTAGCAGAAGGAACTAACTTGCCTGAGAGCAAAGAAATGTTTCATTATATAGCAGGCCTTTGCATATGATTGTATAGAAGAAATATGCATCCACTCACCTCAACGATTATAAATGAGTTGGATGCATACTATCTCACTCATGGATCAATGGACTCTAAAGGCTTCATCTTTTATTTACTTTTCCATTCAAAATGACACTAACTGCTTAGTGGGACAATCTTTTGAAGGAATCAGCTCTTTAGTACTGTTTTGTCATTAAATTAACTAATTATCCCTTCAAACGGTTAGACCGCTATCAGGCAGTAAACCAACACAATTTATCTTTTCAAACAACAACTTTTACGCGTTCTAGTGCTACCAGCACTTCCTTCCGGTTCTCTGTCGTGTTAGCGCTATCCATACAATTTTATTGGAATTGTGGGTGTGTTCGATCGACTACGACTTGAGAAACTGCAATCATTTCCTTCCACTAACATTTTGAATTGTCAAGCATGATTTTATTTTAAATCTCTCGACAACAGAACTGAAGCGTTTCCAAAAACTCACGACAAGCGGATGCCGTCGCTTAAGGAAAATGTTGATGCTTCACGACTCGCGCTCTTTGAAAGCGACAAGAGCTCTTATAGGTAACACACTTTTGAGAACGATGTAGTGAAAAAGAACACTGAATACCCGCTATTACAATCTTCCCTGATAGAGGTACAAACGGAATGCGACGTGATTTCCAATCATTTCTTTCTCGTGCAGTTATCATCCACAATTGTCTTCTGTCTTGAACACAGTGCCGTTCGTAAGGCCTGTTTCATAATCCTAAAGCGGTTCCTGTTGCCAATACACCAGCTGACCTTGAACGTCAAATACATCTGTCTACTGGATGGGTGCTTGTTCGAAAAGATGCTTGCAATCTTTTAGAGCCCACTCATTGTTTTCTATGTTCATCTTTCCATATTATGTGACTGGCACATCTGTGTTTAGCTATCAATGTAGATATTTTTGGATTGCGAAAGTAGGATAGTTTTCAAAGATCAGAGGTGAGCAGATCAGCAACGCTTTGAGTCATGATTTAGGTGACTTCACTTAAGTGTTCTATGGGTGATACGCAGATTTTATAACATATTTGAAGCATCAGCCCACGTTTCCGCTGCATATTAGAGCACCGGGAGTGCTGATAAATCGAAAAAGCGAGCAAGAAAACTATGGTCGGTTATTTGTTACTTTGAGAAGCCCGACTGCACCCTATGCTATTATCCTTCTTGTGCTTAGATACTCCATGTTAAGTTCATGTTGGTGGAACGTTCAAGGAACACATATATTTACCATCGCAAAAAAGATTTCCTAAAAGGTAGTGTCGCCGTGTTTAGCGTAGTAGAATCCTTTTGTCCGCTTCGCGTTGAATATTGCAGGGGTAAAGTGCGAATTCGTGTTTTGAGTGCGTCTAATGCATTGTATTTCGATGAAGATTTCTTTATACGAGTATTAAAAACGCAACTTACTATGTTCAAACATTGAAATGGTAGCAGACAATGATGATCCGAAGTTATTAGGTTGGGATTAAAATTAATGACCGCTCCACTCGCAAATCTTCACATAAGTGTAACTAAGCGCAGACACATCCATGTCAGTCAAGATAGGAACCATTAAATTCAACATATTCATCAAAAGAAATTAGTTTGTATAATTCTTTAGCATCAAGATTCGGGATATGACCAACTTTTGGATAGCTTTCTCTGCATCTTGTTGGTTGTGGAAGCGATGTTTCAGCTAGGTTTTGGAGATGCTTGGAGAAGTGCAATTGGTGGGCGCGAGGTGCGACAAATATAGAGGATAAGCAGATCTTTGTAGCCAAACCAATTCGTTAAACTTTGAAGCGTTCTCTGTAAGACGAGTGGTTTTTGGAGGTCTGTTATTGAAGTGCAAATACTTGATGCAAACGTTCTCACCTTTCCAGTTTGCTTTAAATAGAAAATAACTGTAGAATGGTCGACGTTGAGTTCCTCTGTAGCACTCGTGTGGTCTTAGGAAGAGCATCTTTAATGATCTGTCACCATGAGTTCTAATGAAGTTGGTACAAAAGTCACTGTGGTCTATGTATTGTTGAATGCGCCTTCTTTATGAAACTTCTTGAGCCAGCTCTGCTCTGTACGTTTGTTTGCAGTCCTAGGTTTATTACGTTGTTGATGTTGCGAGTTTCCTCTGCTGCTTTACGGCCCATTCTAAACTCTTCTAAACCGTAATTACTTTTATGCCAATCAACTTCCTCTTCATAGTCTAAAATAAATATAAAATAAGCAGCTTGTAAAACGTCATTAGCGGCAAAACATAGGGCAAGAAGTACACATAAACATGATATGCAACGTAAATACATTTATCCATGAATTTATACCAATATTAGCGGTAAATTTCAAGAATACATAGAACTTCATTACTCTTGCAACAGCCTAAGACTTACCAACAATACAAGAGAATTGATTACGACGAAGTCTTATACAAAAAGGGTTCAAACCTGCTGCAACAACATGTGTGAATAAGTTAAGCAACATGAGTGAGAAGTGTAAGGACCTAACTGCTCATGATGAGCAACCAGGGAGGTGGTTCTTGCTGACGGTCGTCCGGCAACACGAGACCTTTGTTCCTTGCCACATGTGCCTTTTACCCGTTTCCATAATTGACCAATCTATTTCTTTGCTCCCCTCGTCCTTTGAAAGCTATCGCTTACATCGTTATTGTTGATGGTCGGCTAGTTACACGATAAATAGATAGCAACGAATCCATTTAAGTTGCTACAAACATCGTTTAGCTTCGTTGGTACTTTTTTAAAAAAGCAACGATGTCATGAGCGAGATGAATGTTTATAACACACACCACGTAAACCCCTTTCGTCCTAACAGCGTGACTTCATCATCCATTAGAGTGTAGCAGTGTACATCATCGTTAATATAAAGTGAGTTTGTAGAACCCTTTTTTCTCTGGGTATTGTATAGATCTAATGGAAAAGCCGTGTTTTTGTGATACAGTGTCCGACAATCTGCGAATATAGGAAGCCCACCACCGCTTTTGATGTGCGTGTACTTCCTCTATCCACAACCTACAGACACGCCACGTGCCCTCGCCACTAAATGGGCAGAGATCCTCATATGAAGGTTCAAAGAGGGAGATCCGTGATATGCATTGAACTATATATTTACTTACTTATTTAGTTACGTATATATGTATTTGCTTATGAATACATAATTTATATTATTATATTCACCATATATGCTTGTGACACGCGTGGAGCCTAGCTCCACTTTCAATACTGTCCGGCTGTCAACAGCGAACACCCCATGTAACATCACAGTTCGGCTAATCTCAAGATTGCTAGGAGACTTGACCAACCAGATTCTACGACGTTGAGGAACATGACGAAAAAACGAATTGAATGCTATAAGTACTAGGATCTGCACGGTAAAAAAAGGAAAAACACTGTGAAGATGGATCAATGAAGTAACAAGTGCTTATGCGTGTATTCAAATATATTAGCTGTTCCATAAGTTTTGGCACCACAGCAGCAACACCAAATTTCTCAGACAGATTTAATCAAAACTGCATAATTTTTGCATCGCTCGAATGCAAATTTTCTTGCAAACATTTGGTGCACAGGTTGCCTATAATTGTTGAGAGATGGAGCTGTCCTGGGAACAAATTCGCTTGTTACTCATACACGAATGGCGTATGGGGGAAAACGCCAGTAAACAGCCAGAAGAATTAATGGAGCTTCATGTGTGTTAAAATCAACAAAATAAAAACTGATAGTTCTTCCGCACCCTGTATATTTCAAATATGTTATCCGGGAAAAAATGAAGAAACGACCCCTTTCGTTTGCCAAGAATTTTCTATACTAG